TGGCAGCTTGCAAAGTGACAGCCACGCTGCTAAATCCTGGAGAAGGCAGGATCTTGTGTCTCCTGCCTGCAGATGGCTGAGGACAGCACCACTCACCCTTGTCTCGGGGAGGGGTGGATCTGTGGGTCAGTGGGCTCCACAGTTGGTGTGCTCCTCGGCTGCGCCTGTTCTCCCTGGAAGTCAGTTTGCAGCAGGTGAGAATCCATGCCTCTTGAGCAAGGTGACCTCTTGTTACAGGTGTGCAAAATCCTCTCCTGTGTTTGGCCAGAACCAAGATTCAGTGGGAGAAGCAGATGGGCAGGTCCTCCCTCTGCCGCCAGACTGTGGTCTTCCACCAGTGGGAAGTAGCCTCTGGGCCACAGGCCTGCTCAACTAGCCTCCGGGGGCAGGAAGCCTGGGCTCCTGGGAAGGGCTGGGCCAGGGCCCATAGGGACCTGGATGGAGAGAGTGACATAGCTCATGGGAAGTCACAAGTGTGACCTCTACATGAAGGACAGACTTTTCACGTGACCACCAAGGGGAGCTTCCCTGCCCAGGACCAGAGGGCCACGTCCTTTCAACCAGCTCCCATGGAGCGAGCTCAGCCAGAGGGTAGGAAGGCTGTGCTGCCCGTGGGCCATCTCCACGTGGGGAGGAGTCCGGCCTGGGTGCCTGGGGCAGCGGGGAGCCAGCAGACCCAGAATCTAGGCCTGCAGTGGGAGGTAAAATCCAGAGGAGCAGTCTGGGGAGCGGGAGGGGACCCCAGTGAGCATCTTGATCCCTGCTTGTGTCTGGCTCCTTCAGGGCCTGTGTCCCCTACAGGGCTAGTGGCGTGGGAGGCCCCTGGCTCTGAACTGCCCACTCAGCAGAACCAGAGAGGCCATCTGCTGCTATCTAGAGGGGTTCTGGGGGTGTACAAGTGGCCTAAGAACATTTCCTGTGACCCAGGGGTTTCAATGCTGAGACATATCGTGCAGAAGAACTCCAAGCTCGGGTGAGTCACCCTGTTGACCTTTTGGTTCTCTTCTCTCCTCTTTATCTCGGCCTTCCCAGACCTCGAGTCTTGGGGTGGAATTGTGGTCACTTCTCTGTCACTGTCCAGTTCCTTCCTGCTCTGCCCTGATCCCAGGAAGTGGGCCCAGATTTGCCTTCTTCCCTCGAGTGACAGCATTTCTCCTGATGGCACCTGTCTCAGAGCTGTGGGTCTTGGACCCTGCTGAACCTGAGCTTCATTGGGTCCCTCAGGCCACCCCCTCCCCAGAGGTCCTGCTCGGCACGTCCAGGGTGAGCCCCGGGGCCTTGTTTCCAGCCCACGTTCCCTGAGGTACTGGTGGAGGTTGGCCGTGGGCTGCCTGATGACACGCACCACTTGGGGCTCACAGCTGATGGCAGGCGGATTCCTCACTGTCTCAGCGTGGTGCTGGGCAGCCGGAAGGAAGGCCGCTCTCCCTGCTACCCTCTGCAAAACAAAACCCCAGCACACAAACACGGAATTGCAGGGGACAACAGAAATCAGGGGGAGGAGGGATTCTAATTCAGAGTTTCACAGAAAATCTTTCCTGGCCTGAGACACAGGTGACAGGGTCCCCTCTTATTGAGCTCTAAGTTACTGACTATGAGTAAGTCCTGGAGGTATGCAAGTGTCAGAGCCCAATTCAAATCGAGAGCTGATTTTGTTCAACCTTAGAAAATGTTATTTTTAGCTGGGTGTGGTGGCACATGCCTGTCATCCCAGCGACCCAGGAGGCTGAGGTAGGAGGACCTCAAATTTGAGGCCAGCCTCAGCAACTTAGCAAGGCCCTAACCAACTTAGCAAGACCCTGTCTTAAAATAAAAAAAATAAATAAATAAAAAGGGCTGGAGATGTGGCTCAGTGCTTAAGTACCCCTAGGTTTAATCCCCAATATAAACAAACAAACAAACAGATTTATTTTCATTGTAGTAAAATATGCATAGCTTTGGCCACGTCAGCTAAGTGTGTGGCTCGGCAGGATCCCGTGTGCTCTCATTGTTCTGCCTTCTCCAGTTCATGTAGTGTTGACAGGTGTCCTCATGGCACAAAACACAGGGGAAGCGAAAGCAGAGTCTGGGTCTAGAAAGTTGGCAGGGAGCAAGCTGAAGGCTCTGCTGGTCTCAGAGGGGGAGCGGGCTCCAGAGAGCCAGGCCAGTACCTTCGCGCCTCTGAGAGCTGCTTTGAGGATGTCAGGGGTGAAAATGGCTCTCTCCACTGACTTCCCTGGGGGCAGCCGCCTCCTGGCATTGGAAGGTAGCACATTGAAAACCTCTCCTGTCGCCCTGCTGGGTCGAGCTGGGCTTTCTGTTCAGTGCTGGGTGAAATGGCAAATCTGTAGGTGACCTGCCTGCACCTCCCCTCTCTGCCTCTCTCCTCCGTCTCCCACTCTCCTGCTCTGCAGATGCTTGCCGGCTGCTGGGATCCCCTCACACACCACTCTCGGACCTTGTTCAGGCCAGAGCATCTTGTATTTGTTGTAGAAAAAAACAAGTTTGGAATTAGACTGAAACCTGGGATAGAACAAAGAGCTTCACTGTTCAGCAACCCAAAAATGAACGAGGAAAGCCCACCCTAGCTTAGCACCAATTCCACTTGGAGAACAAGGGGGTGACGCTTGGCTCCTGATATTTCTGTGGCTACTGTGAAAGGCCACGTCTCTGTTCTCAGACGGAGCTGCCCCCTGGGAAGAGGTGGCAGGGGATGGCACCAAAGCTCCCATTGTGATTCTTTGCCTTTCTTGGGCACCTCTGGGGCTCCTGGCTGTCCCACGGATAGGCTTGGTCAAGTAACCTACACTTGACCTTGGAGCCGTGTTAGTTTGCTAGGGCTGCCATAACAAAACGCCACAGACGGGTGCTTCAAGACAGAAAGTTTCTTCCTCACCCTTCTGGAAGCTGGAAGTCTGAGGTCAGGCTGTGGTCAGGGTAGGTCCTGCTGAGACTCTCGCCGTGGCTTGCAGATGCCTGTCTTCTCCCCGTGTCCTCACAGGGTCTGTCTGGGTCAGTCTGCCCAGGGGGACCCAAGCTCATGGCCTTAGGGGTCCTCAGTCACCTCTTTGAAAATCTTGTCTAAATACAGTCACAGCCCAAGGTTCTGTGTCGGGCTGGGTCCTCACCGTGTGACTCTCAGAGGACACAGTTCAGACCATACGGGGGCCACTCCAGCATTCTGGGGAGCAATGAAGCTGAGCTACATTTGCAGGAAGCGTGAGGCGGGTGTGTCACCCAGGCCTGGGGTTGATTTGACACACCTGCTTGACTTGCAGTGTGGACCCTCCAGCTCATCTCCAGGTGACCGTCGGTGTACACCCCCCAAATCAAATCCAAGTCCGCCATCTAGTCTCCAAGTTCCCGTCAGCCTTTGATTCCTCAGAGCCACGACAGCCTCCAGACCCGCTCCAGAGCCCCCAGCAGAGCCCCCATGTTGCGGACCCCAGGGACAATCTCCTTTTCTTTCTCTCTGCATTATTTTAAACCCAAGGGGAAATTGTGCACCCTGTGTCGTGACCTGCACCTCCCACTGGGCACCTGTCCTGGAAATGCAGCTGCAGATCAGTGTGCTCGGCCTTGCCTTGAGCAGGGGTCGTTCTTTGGCCATTTCTCTCATGCACACCTCCCCGTTCACTCCCTTCCCACCACCCTGGGACCCTTGCTCACTGGGAGTGTTCCTTGGTCATTTTAACCTGAGTTCGTTTTCATGGTACCTGAGCCTGCAGTGTAGACGCAGGGCCTATTTGTCTTTCTTTCGCATCCTTTCTGGCTCATTGGTTTCTTTTTCAGACTGGGATTTGGGTTCTGCCTTCTGAATCCTAGGCAGGATCCCCGAGGATACCTGGTGGGCACCGGCACACTGCAGGCCAGGGAAGAGAGGCCCGGTCCACTGCCTGGTCAGAGCATGCATGTGCAAGAGGGTGTGCAGGTGTGGGAAATCAGGGGGCCATGGGAGCTTTGGGGCCGAGGATCTACTTTGAGGCTGATGTAGAGATTTGCTGATTCTCTCTCCCTGTCTCTGGCAGGACCTTTTCTCACACGGGTCTTCATTAGAGTGTGGCACCACTGGTTCCTGATCAGCACTGTCCCCACCCTGACCTGCTGGCCTTGCGCGTGGCCATGGCCTTCACCCCCATGACCTGGAGCACGTGATTGCAGACCTCTGTCCTAAGTCCTTCCTCTGTCTTCAGTGAGGGGTAAAGTGGAGAACTTCCTGGAGGGTTAACACCAACATCCCACCCTTCCTTTGGGCCCCTGCTCGAACCTCTCTTCACTAGAATATCCCCTGACACTCATCCTGCTTAACTGTCATGTTTTTGCAGCTGGATTCCCTGTGTCGTTGACTTTTAAATTACAGCGTCCTTTGTGAACCTGGTATAGTGTCTGCTTCATAGCGTGAGAGAAGTAACAGCCAACACTCCAGAAATGGTAGCCAACACTCTAGAGATAATAGCCAACACTAGGGCCATTTATTAGAGCCAAAATATTATGTTCATACTGCATCATTTAATCTGAAAGTCACCAGTGGCAATTATTTCTTCTCTTCTGGAAGAGTTTTTACAAAGAAAATAGTTTAAAGGGGACCTAGAAATAAGTATGAATTAATAAAGCCAGTCATGGCCTCCTCTCAAGCCCTGCCCAGCTAGCCCCATGATGAACATATGTCGGTGTAGAGAAAGTTGACAAAATCTGGAAAAAAAAAAGAAGTCAATGTTGTTATATTTCCTCTACTTAAGGATTTTTTTCCTAACCTGTTAAGATTTTTTTAATGTATTAATTAATCTTGTCATTGCTTTCCAAAATGAGCATTTTCCATTTCATTTGCGGTTTTTAAAATATGCCATAACTGTAGAAACTAAACCGTGGTATGATTTAATACTATGGTGCTACCGGCAAGCCAGGGTGGGGGGTGTCACTGCCTTATTAAGCATTTAAACTGCCACCTTCTGTGACTGTGCTGCGTGCTGTGGCTGTAAGAATCCTCTCTTAGAGTGTTCAGTTTTTTTTCTTCTCTTTAGAGAAGCTCAGAGGAGAAGGCGGGGCAGAGAAGGCTCCAGTTATAAAAGCCTCCCTCCTCCTCAGAGGGAGCAGACAGCAGGCTCCTTGGGGTGAAAGGAAATCCTGCCTGAAGCCTCCACTTACGGTAGGTTCTCAACTTCTGCTTCTCTTCTTTCCAAAAGCATTACCCTCCCTGTTACTTGCAGCGTTGATTCACGTTTAATGTCTCTGGGAAGGATGTCACTTAGTTTTCCTGTGAAGATTTGAAACGATTTAAAATTCCTCAGAGATGGGGGCATAAGCAAACTGTCCCTGGTAGACACCTCTCCTCATTTGGACTTCTTTAGAAGTACCTAAGTCTCTGCTAGATTTATGAATGATTTTAAATACGGCTTCAGAGTCCTTCTTCTGATTGACAGAGTTTGACATTTCCTCAAGTGAGCTCTAGTACAAAATTCACCGTCAGCTTGGCGACTGACCACCTCTCAGTCTATGTTCTCACATCAACTGGGGACAGAGTTTAACTTGTTCTTAAATCAAGACCACGGTGAAACACAGTGACCTTTTTGATGACCCGGGAGAGGGGCATGTGCACCTGGCTCTCACGTGCTGTGGTTCCTGGAGTCACTTTTGTAATGTTTAGAAACAAGACCGAAGCACTTGCTTGGGTGAATAATCAAAGGTTTCATCTTGGTGTGTCTCAAGTGCACTGTGGCCGTGCTCGCTTTTTTGGTGTTAAGCTTCTTAAGCCGAGGGTAGAGCTTGTTCCTGAAGTCTCTTCTCTCTGCTAATAGAAACAGACCTGCGTGATGGGCGGTTCAGCTGATCAGGTCTTGAGTGGGAAGAGCTTCCTTTCAAGGTTGTGGCTTTGGGTTGATGATTCTTTAAAGTCTGGAACCAAGTTGTTACCGTTGGTGATTGATTTTCCTTTTTGCTTAAGGATTGATGTCATTCTCAGCTCCCGTGGAGGATGGAGGGTCCAGGCTCCTTGGGGACCCTGCCTTTCCCCTTGTTCCAGGAGGCTGAGGCCTCCTGAGCTTCATCTGCTGTCTGTCCCCCTCCTGTCCCCTGCCTCTCTCTTTGGAGCAGGGCCTCTTGGGGTCAATGACCTTAGGAGCCTCCACGGGCTCTGGCCTTTCTCCAGGTTCCACCTGTTTATTCAAACCTCAGAATTCTGGCTGCCAGAGGTAAGTGGAAAGCCAGGTTCTCCTCCTGCCGGGGGACAGAGGAGGAGGCCAGGTGCACGTCTATCCTGTGGGTCCCTGTGTCACACCACCACCGTGTGTTGGGATGGGGAGGAGGACAGCTCCAGAGGGTGTCACTGGATTTGAAGCTCTGCAAGTGTCCCATCCCCCGTCACCATGAATATCAGAAGGGAGTGGAGGAGGAGAAGGTGGGGTTTGGTGCTGGGCCCTCTGGAACACCCTCCCAGAGCTCTGTTCAGCACTATGTAAGGACGCCTTTCTTACAAAGGGACCGTGTGCTTCTTGCTTGAAAGTGGCATCTTGGGACTGGTCTGTCCCTGTGAGGGATGAGATAAAAGGCAGTTTTAAAAACATGCCAAATCCTATTTCATGCTGGGACAGTAACAAACCAGACTAATTTTCTCTGGGCTTAAAGAATGCAAGAGTCCGCTGTTAATGGTGACTTCTAGATTATTGAACATTATTTGTGAGCACCAATAAAAAAAGCAGCAGTGGCCAACCTTTGCTCCAGCAAACAAATGAGGTTCCTAATTATTTAGAGTTTGGTAATATATTAGTACAAACGAAATCACAATATATTCCTTCCAAAAGAATCATGGAAGTGGAACAAAGTGACTTAAAGTTTAAAGGTTGGGCCCTCAGGTCAGCCTGCATGGATATGAATCCTGTGCTGGATTTGAATCCTGGGACTTTGAGAAAGTCACTAGCTTCTCTGTTTATGAGATGATAATTCAATTGACTCACAGGGAGATGGAAGAACTGGTGCATGAAGAGCGAGCACAGGGCTTGGCACACGGAGGGCGTTATGGTGGGAGGGGATTTGGCACACGGAGGGCATTACAGGGCACAGCTGCTGGTGGTGCCTGAGGTCTGGACGTGCTCCTGTCCCGGTGGAGGTGTGGTTTTCTGTGCTAGCAGAACCAATTGCATTGTTCATAGATGCAGGCTGTGATTGCAGAAGGCCCCTGTGCTGAAGTTTGCCCGATGCTGCCTCTTCTGCAACCCTTTGGTTTCTGAAATATTTGATCATGAGTCATGAGAGCTTCCCACGGCAGTCCTACAGTGAGGGGGTGGCTGGCATTACTTGTAGCACCCTGCTGTGGACCATGGTTCTCTACGTGTGGCCCTGAGACCAGTGTCCTCGTCAGCGCCTGCAAACATAGTGTAGATGCTGACCTGGGCCAAGGCCAGAGCTCCCGAGCACAGAGGGGGCCCAGCCATGGGGTTCAGTGAGCCTGGGGAGTGAGCTGACGCACTTACCTGCGTCCTGGGTGGAGGCTGGGCACATCTTCAGCATCTGTGATGAAGCTGTGAAGACCGCGGATGGTGTTTCAAGAGCCCATTTCATGGCATTTTGACTGAGGGCACCCACCTTGATGGTGGGTGATCAGATTCCGCTAAGTGCATCAGACACATCTGCGGTCCTTGAGACCAAAGGTGATAGCAGAACTAACAGAGGTGTGGGTGAGGCCTGGCGGGACTCTCAGGTCTCTCCCTGGGGGCCCCCTGCTTGGGCCTGCTATTGGGAGGCACCCCCTGAGTGTGTGTCAGCGAAGCCGCTTCAGCCTGCGCTCAGGGTGTTAGAAAAGACAGCCTCGCTCTAGGTAACCCACGGTGGGGCCTAGGACGTTTCTCACCAGGAGACCCAGTGTGTTGGACAAGCATAATTTCCTTCCAATTTCTTATTTTGAAATCATAATAGCTTCACAGGAAGTTGAAAAGAGAGTGCTCTGGCGTTCCCTGGACCCTTCACCCAGCAGTAACATCCCGCAAAACCACAGTATTGTGCCAGGACCCAGGGTTGTGTGACTGGCACCACACAGCCCCAGACAGTTCCTCACGTGCTCGTGGTGTGAGCAGCGTTTTACCCACAGGAGGAAGAGGTCTGGTCATCACCTCTGCAGGCCTGAGTGGCGTTTGCCCATCACTCAGAGCCCCTGTGTCACCCCTGGGTGCTCCCAAGCACCTGGCCCCAGCTGCAGGTCTTCCTAGCTGGCCTCTCCAGTGGCCAATGTGGGTTTCGTGTTCCTTTACAGGAGCCCTGAAACTTGGCAGTTGACCATGTCTGTCCCTTTGTTTTGGCCACCAGCCAGGTTAACATACAATTTCTAGCACCTTCTCCTCCCCAGGTCTTTAAAACAGGCTTCCCATGTGGCTGGGTGAGCCCTCACTTTCCTGGTCTCTTATTTTACCCTCTGCTCATTTCTTTCCCTCTGGTTCTCTACAGGCCAATGAAAATTAATGTGAAGATAGCGTTACTCTCAAAGGCAAAGATATGTTTTTTAATCATATGTTAATAAAATATAATTTTAATAATATATTTAAAATATAATTTTAATCATGTGTTTAATAAGAATAGCTTAATAGTACCAACATGGGTCTAGTCCCAGATGAACTGACCACTGTAGGGATGTTGGGTGACAGGAATCAGAGACCATGACAAGCAAGCACTGACTCGGCCTCGGGGGCATGCAGTGAGATGAGCTTGGGGCCTTTGGAACACAATGTGCTGTGTGAAAAAGACACTCAGGTCAGACAAGACGAGAGCCCTGGAAATCCACTGAAGATAAAAGGCCAGGTGGCTTCCAAGATGGCCCCAGGGACGCCAGTGGGGTCCTCTCCCGAGTGCAGGCTCTATCTAGTGACTTCCCTCTAATCGGGAGGCTCAGGCAAGGCAATGGCTTTGTGGCTGTGTCTTGCTGGCACACTCTCTGGGCCTTCTCAGTTCTGGGCTTGACAACCCCCTGTAGCCAAAACCCCCGGGAAGCCTCAGGCCCACAGCCCTGCAGGAGCCGCGTCCTGGGAAGCACCGCCGTCTTCATCAATCTGTGCTCCGGCCTCTCCCTCCCACTCACAGAGCTCTTGTGCTCACGGGCCCCTTCCTCTCTCACCACCTCCTTCCCCCTCCACACTTCTCCTATGACTGCTTTTGCTCCTCAGGGAGCGAATCTACTTGGCTTCTCTACGTAACCGACACCTCTTCACTCTGGGGTCAGACAAGACAAAAGCCCTGGAAATCCACGGAAGGTAAAAGGCCAGGTGGCTTCCAAGATGGCCCTGGGCGTGGAGAGGGTAAAGAGCCGTCTTTGAGGTCTGCTGCTATGAATTTCCCCGCCCCCTGGCTTTCCCCAGACACCTTACTTACTGTCTCAAGTCCTAATACTAGTAGAGCAGGAATGCCAGAGCTCTGACTTTCCTGCCGTTCGATCCCTGGGCCAGGTCTGTGCAAGCTGCTCCCACGACTCATGGGAAGCTGCCGGGTTACATGGGGAGACTCTAAGAGATCAGGAAACCGAGGCCCCAAGAGATTCAGCTGCTGGCTGGTTGGCCGTGGAGCGCAGCCTCCCCAGCTGATGGAGTAAGTCCATCAGCTTGAACCTCTGGAGCCCCCTTCTAAGGAAGCCTCTGAGCAGCTGTTTTTCCTGGTGGTTCTCTTATTTATTCCAAGAGACTGGAGCTGCAGGAGTCCCTCTGACTGCCTGGTCAATTAGGCTCCAGAGCAGAGGTCCTTCTCCAGGAAGAACCTTCTAGAACCACAGATGCACAGCCTGATAGACACAGCACTGCTCCTGTGGTGGGGTAGGGGTCTGTGAGTCCCCAGCAGTGGGGTGGGGGCTGAGAAGCTCCTTTTAAACTGTTGCTATAGTCCTGGCTGATGACCGAGGCACCCAGACCTTGCAGTGCTCCATCACGCCTCTGCTGTGGGCAGACTTGCGGTTCTCTGGAGTAAGAGTTGGATGGTCCAGAAGGAAAGTCGATTCCACGTCCAGGTGAGATTTCAAAGAATATGATGGGAAAAATTCAGAGTTTCCCCTCAGTAATGACTGTGCTAGTGTTGACCGTCTTTCCCTTCATCTTTGCTTTCTTTTAGCTCCCTGCTCCCGTCCACCCTCACGGACTCCTCCTCTATGCTCTGCCCTTTGCCCAGATGTCTCCCCTCCTGGGTCTCTCCCTCTGCTAACATTCAGACACCTCTTCCCAGCAGACAGAGCAGCACCCCAGCTCCACCCGCCGTTGCCCTGGGGAACGAGCCACCTAGGACACCAGGGCGTCCATGTGTTGTCCCCATCCTCTCACCTGCTGAGAGGGACGCTGTGAGGTCACTGGTTGACTCCACCTTGCCCAGCCTCTAGATACACTTCCTACTTATCCATTGCATTTTCCAGATACAAGAGATTGGGGAAAAAAACATAAAAAGTAAAAGGATAAAGTTAAAACCCGTGGTCTCACTCGCCCTGCGTAGCGGTGGGTGACCTTTCAATGAGCTGGCTCCACGTATCTGGAGCTTCCTGTCTGCATTTGCTTTGGCGGAGTAACGATGGCTGCCTTCACTGCAGGGTGCCTCCTGGGTAAGGAGCTTCTTGCTCAAGGTCGAACCCAAGCTCCAAAGTCAGAGCCTTCACGTACCAGGATTTCCTGCTTCCGTGACCTCCTATGGCCATGCGATACTTGCTGTGACTTACTCATCACAGTCATCTTTCCACATCATCTTACCTCTTGGGTAGAATCCTCTCCTACTGATAGAAATTTAGATCATTTCCAATTTTCCCTTGTACAAATGTCTCAGCAGCGATCATCTTCTGGGTGACCTGTTTACGTGTTTCTTCTGCTGGATTCTCCGCAGCCAGTCACTGGGGCGACGTGATCACGTCGCAGTGTCTCACTGCATCCCTGGCAAAAGGCCCTGCCTGGAGTGAAGCAGCTCTCCTGGCCTCCCATCCAATCACATGATGGCTCATGGTCTCCACAGTGTGCCCATTACCAGCCCCGACAGCAAATGCTGGCATCCGGACCCTCCTTGGTGTTCACTGCTCACTGGGAGGGTCTTCATGTGGACTGGAGATCTGTGTTCCCTTGTCTGGTGGACCTGGACTCTGGCCCTCTGCCTGTCTTTCCCGAGGGGTTAGGGTCCTGACCTGCGGGGGCTTCTGTTCCGTGGCACAGACAGGTTGCTGGGCTCCTTCCCAGAGCGGCTTCCTCTGCTCTCCCGCCTCCTGGCTCCAGCCTTTCCGGCTCTCTCCTTCAGGCAGTTTCGTCCTCTGCTCACCCTCTCCGGCGCCCTGGGGCCCTCTCTTCTCACTCCCCCTCATCTTTTCCCTTGGGCCTTGGGCCTTATGGCTCTTCTTCCAAAGGCCTGGCTTCCCTCACTCCGGGGTCTAAATCCTGGCAGAATGTGTTGGGAAGAGAAATAGCCTGTGCACCTAGAAGACTGCTGTGGAGGGCGTGGTGCAGGGTGCCCAGACCCCAGGGCAGCAGGCACCAGCTGGCCTCTGAGAGCCGGTGAGAGGCTCGTGCCCGGGAGACGTCAGGCCAGGGCTGTGGCTGCAAGTGTTATGTGTCTTCTGCAGGCTTTCCCATTTCTCGCTGGCAGAAATGTGATTCAAAAGCCAGAACACGCTTTTGCCTTTGTAACAAAATAAGCAGTTTTTCATTGTGAGGCAGATGAAATCACTTTCTAAACCTTGGCATTCCGCTTAGGAGCAATTTGCTGTATGGGAGTCACTGTGAATAGATACCTTGCAGGATTGATTTGTGGTTTTACCATAATGTATGTAAAGTACCAATTAATACTCAAGTCTCTTGGAAATGCCTGGGGAGAGAAGTAAAAGAATCACTCAGGGATTTAAACAGTCGGGACCGCCCATCATGAGTGGGTTTTAAAGAAGTGTCCAATCTCTGTAGCTCAGGAGAGTTTGCACCTAGTCTGGCACCTGCAATCTGCATGAGGAGTCAGGCTTACGGGCCCAGAGGTGAGGAACAGAGTGTGAGTGAAGATGCTTCCCGATGGTCCTCACTGTTCCCACACCAGGACACTCCTGTGGGCGGGTGTGCTCTGCACCTGGAGGTTATGGGAGGAAACGTGAGGATAGTTCACAGACCCAAGGAGGATTTTCAAGGGGGGTGTTGACTTGTTCAAATGATTCATGCAATAAATGATGTGCGGATTTACCTCCTAAGCTGTGCTGGGCTCTCGGAGTCTATGCTGAGCCAGGTGGACATGGTTTTGGCCTCTGCAAGATAATAGGGTCAGACACATCACTGAACAAGTCTTGATGCTAAGGGCATGCTGTCCGCCCAGCATGCACAACCTGGGGCGTCTCCTGGAGGGAGGACGGGTGAGCCTAGATATGGAGGATGGGCGGGAGATGGAGCCATGGAGGAGTGTGGGCCACAGATGGGGATGAGGGGCTCCGGGGAGAGGCGGGTGTGGTTTCAGGCTGGGGAAGCAGCCAGGCCCTAGCTGCATCTGTGGGCAATCAGAGAGGCCTAGGGAGGGCTGAGTGTGGTGGGGACAGACAGGGAGGGATGTGGTCCTTGGAGGAGGGGATGCAGGGCAGGTGTATAGGAAGGATGATAATTTTGTTCTAGAAACGTTCTGTTGACCACATCTGGTGGACAATTTGGGGAAGTCTGGTCAGAAGGTTTTTTCTGGAGCTTGGGATGCAGGTCCAAGTTGGAGCTCAGGAGACAAGGGGGTCTCCAGAGCTTGGACAAGAGTGTCCTGGTGTGGGAAGAGTGAGGACAGTCAGGAAGCATGGTCAGGTTCCCTGGCCTGTCCTTGAGCCCAGGAGAAAGTGCCGGCCTCCTGGGGCACATCCAGCTGCTTCAGAGTCTCAGGTCGTCCTGGGGCATATATCCTCAGGCCCTCTCTGGGGCCTCTCTCAAGGTCCCTTTCCCTCTTTGCTTGACTGGATCAGATCCAGGATTCTCCTGGCCCAGTGGCCATGTCCTCTGTCCATGCAATCTGCTAGGTATATCACATCCATCGACCTAGCAGGTAGCTGGTGTGAGTCCTGTGAGGTGCTCCAGGAACGAACCAGACAGTCTGTTCCCCAGGGCGCCCAGGCTGCAGGGAGTTGCAATGTGGCACCATGTGCTCTGCCACTCTGGGGGCTCACCAGGGGAAGACTGAAGGGCAGAAAGGCCAGCTGGGTCTCAGAGCCTGAACAGGAATTGGGCCAGGGGTACAATTTCCCTGGTGGGTTGGACAGAGTGTGGGATGCATGGCAAGGGGTGGATGAATGGAAGGGGTGTCGGGGCTAAGCTCTGAGGGAGACCCTTTTGCTGGGTAACTCACACTAATCCCCAAATCTTCCCAGGCAAGATGTCCTTCGAGCGTGCCAGGTTCAGCATGAGGAGCAGGAGGAATGGCACTCTGGGCAGCACGCGGACCCTCTACTCCAGCGTGTCTCGGAGCACGGACGTGTCTTACAGTGAAAGCGTAAGTCGGGCGCCCGGCCCCTTGCCCAGAGCTTGGGCAGTTAGGATTATTTGGTGACTTGTCTGCCTTCTTTACAAAGAGCCTCTCCCTGTCCTCAGGGCGCCATGCCAGCAGGACGCCATCTCCCAACATAGCTCCCTCCTGCAGCCTCTTACACTCTCTGGCCATCTCAGATGCTCTCACTCGCCAGGAAGTAAAGATGACCCTCCAGGCTGATGTCCAGTTCCCTCTGACTAGAGTTAAAGTCAGGATGTTGGCTGGCTTCGCAGACGGGGAGGAGCAGCAATGGGGAGGGCGGGGTGCTGGTCAGGTCAGTTTGCTCTGCCTGGTGGTTACTGAGGCCTGGCTCTGTGCACAGCTAAAGCCCCTGCCCTCCTCCTCCGGCTGGGGCCTGCCTCCCAGGGCCAGGACAGGGCGAGTGCGATGCTCAGGTGTGAAACGAGGGAGGCGCTGTCCTGGGTTGCCGCCCTGCACTTGCAGCCCCCAGTACTGAGCACCTCTTTAGCGCCTGCCCACATCTCGACTTGGTCCTGCTCTGTGAGAAGCCCAGTATGCAGAGGCTGTGGTGGCTTCCCCGCTGCTCCTACCCCTTGCTCTTCTTCTCTGACCCCAAACAAAGAAGTACCCCGGAGGAAGGGCCCTGGCTGGGTCCACTCAGCCTCAGGCATTGGTGCCCTGGGAGCTGGACCAGGGCTGTCTCCTCACCGTGCTCCTGTTGCCCCTGAGGGTGGCCCTTCCTGGGTGCAGGCAGCCCTGGCAGGTGGGATTGCTGAGGCTGCTCAGGAGATTCTCAGTTCTGGGAGCTCCTGTTTGCCCCTCAGCAGACACCCATACCTCTGCAGAGTGCATTTACAGAGGAAATGATCAGAACCAGGCCATCTTTACCATCCACCCTCCGCCGTGAGCCTGATTCCACAGCTCGCAGGGCTGCTGACTGTTCACATCGTGGGAGGTAGACTCAATTATTTAAGTAAATCAAAAATATTATGAGGAAAAATGGACATCACAGATTTTCAAAATTCTTCCACACAGATGAGCATTGGAGTTATTTTTCTGTGAAATCCACATGAAATTTCCAGCCTAGAGGTCACTGGTAATGCCCAGTACCCACTACCAGCTTGAGATATGGGATGTGGCCGGTGTTTCGGACGCTCCCCTGTGCCCTCCCTGTGGGAGGTCAGGCCTTCGCCTCAGAGGTCATAACCACTGTCCTGAATGTTGGGTCACGGTTGCTGGTTCCTGGCCTTTTTAGGGACACTTTTTGTATTCATGGGATTGTATTGTAAGGACTTTTTGGTGAGTTCTTTACACTGGTTTTGAGATTAGTGCACACTGATTCCAGCAGCTGCTGCTGATTCATTTCCCCGCTGTGCAGAGTTCTGCCACGTGCATGTGTCTGTCCGGCTGGAGGGCTGGACTTCCGGGTTTCTAGCCTTTGCTATGAGGATTGACACTACTCCTAACACCCGTGGGTGTGTTTCCAGGTCTCCTGAGGCGTGTCCTTTGGTTTGAGAACAGTGAGTGGAAGGTGTCTATTTCTCCTTCATGGCGTTTGGTTTAAGAAACAGAATTTGTGGGGGAACTTAGGTTCAAAGGATGGGAAGAGGAAGATGTGGTGCCCATTCTCTATTCCTCAGGACTTGCCTGGGCAGGGGATGGGGTGTGAGGAGGGACCTCCAGGAGAGGGCCCCCATCCTTGTGTACTGCTGCTGGTGAAGGCCTTGCCGTGGGGAGGAGCCAGGCCTGGCTTCGCTGCCGGCCCGTCTATGAGGTAACTGTGCAGGAAGCAGTCTGAGCTCTCTGACGGTCAGCACGGGTGCTCTGCAGGGCGTGGATTTGGAAGAGAAACCCCAGCACTCCAGCTCCCAAGGTCAAGATGCTCTCTGAAGCCACAACCTCATCACCAGGCATCAGAGTGTATGGGTCACTGGGGGAACCCCTGCCTCTCTCCACAAGGGCCTGCTCCCCAGGGAAATGACCTGACAGGCAACAGTGGACCATTTTCTGCCAAGTTTGTACCAGTTTCTCCACCCTGAGACCCACAGCTCTCCCCTTCACCCTGCTGGGGATTAATGTCTTTTTCACTGGGTGCATGAAATGAGATCTCACTGTGGTTTACTTCACATTTGTTTCATTAGTAATAAGATCCAGCTCTGTGTGTTCATGGGTTATTTGTGTTCTCTTTTATTCAGCGTCTGCTCTTGTCTCTTGCCATTTCCCCCACAGGGTTATCTGATGTTTTCTTTCTGAATTATTATCCTTATATATTCTGCTCACCAATCATATGATGACCAATATATGTTGCAGATATCTTCATTCATTTTGAAGAGTGTGGAAATTTTCAAAGTATTTTTTCATCTGTTTTCAAATAGCTTGCTTCTGCCAACTTAAAGGCAATTTTTTGTTTATAAAGGCTTTGGTGTTTGTCAGAATTAGCCTCAGATACGCCTAACCACCTTGCCCACAGGGGAATAAATACAACCATGGAAGGAGGTTTTGAAACATCTTTTAAAAAGCAAGCAGAAGATTAATGGAAACCTGTGCTGATATTAATTTTTTTTAAATGCTAGACTATTATGCAGTGCTTACTCTTCCTGGTAGCCTTAGAGACAGAAAAACATGATTTCTAGGTACAAGATAACTCTAAGTAACATTTGGAAACATTTGCATTTAGTTATAAAAATTTAGATGTATGCTCCCTTTAAAACTCCTCCACCACCACCAACAAAACCCTGGTGTAGTCCAAAGCATGAGCAAACGTTGGCTGCCTGGGGGGAGTAGTTATAACCTTTGAAGTAGCTTGGATGTATTTAGTATTCATCAGGAGGCATGAATAAAGCAGTAATGTGTTATCCAATGTTTTTCTCTAAAGGACCTGGTGAATTTTATTCAAGCGAATTTTAAGAAGCGGGAATGTGTCTTCTTTACCAAAGATTCCAAGGCCACGTAAGCTACTGTTTCCCTCCATTTTTGCTTCCGTGTTTAAAAATTAATTATTAGCCACCATTACAACAAACAAATAAAAGCCCATTAGTGCATTATAAAGGTTGTTTTCATCTTGTAATTCCCAGAAAGGGTGTGTGATCAAGAGGATCTGGCAAGTATCTTATAGTTCTTCCCTAATTATATCATTTCCTGTGTATTTTTAGCTTTGATGATACAGCAGCTGCTGAGGTTGCTGAGAGGGTCTTCACCCGCTGCAGTACTCCCGGGAGCCTGGGAGCCCACCCTGGGGGCCTTGGCAACAGACATGGCTCAACCGCAGTTGCCAGGCAACGACGCATTTGTGCACATGTGTCAATCCGAGTGGCCCTTGTTCCCAGCTGTGGTCTCTGCGCCTTCCCTTTTTACTGGGCTTTCATCTACTCTGAGTTTGGGCACATCAAGGCTGGGTTACAAAAGGCACCCTGGAGCCCAACACCCATGAGCGGGGGGAGTGAATGCATAGGTGCACAGCTGCTGGAAGACGTACCTGGATCTCATTAAACCATTCCAAGCCTAGACCTGCTCTTCTTGTTCCTCTCTGCTCCTCCTCTTTTGCTAGAGTGTAGCTGGTAATGGCCTGGAAGCCATGGCTGCAGTTAACTGGAGGATTGGTCCTCTGTGAATGGAGGCAATGAGCATAGCAGCGATGTAGGAATGGTAGAAACTTTAGAATCAGCTTTGGTTCCAAACTTGACTTGGCTGCCCCTCACTGTGTGATCTTGAGCCCATTATATTTTTCTTGAATTGAATTCTCTCATCCTAAAAACCTAGCAAAAGCAAACCTCAGGGGTTCTGGTAAGGATTCAATGAGGTAGCACATAAAATACCTATTATGAGCCTAATAGGTTTCAATAGGATGTGTTTTCTGACTAGGTTTGAGTTAGAAAATTAACATCAAAGAAACTAGGAGATCTCTGCTTTGTCATTGGTATAAATTTGTTCCTAATGAATCATTCTGATGAGTATAAATTCCGCCAGCCAGCTATCTGTTCTTCAAATGCTTCCCTGAAGGACTCTGCTGTCAATGTATTCATTGGTAGAGAACATAGTTTTATTCATTCAACACGTATTTTCTGAGCATAGGCTATGTCATAGGACTATACCTACTTGATTTATAACACTACGATGCCCCTGCAAGGTAGCTGTGATTATCATTTGACAGATGAGTCAAGTGGGTTCAGTATTCTTCCATGATCACATGGAAGATGGATAGTGATTTGAACTTAGGCTCTCTGATTCCAGGACTGTACCTTTTCTTTCTCCCCAGCTGCCTCTGTTTTTAATGGCAGTGCTTCAGGCAGGTCAAATTCATCAACACAGTCTCAGTTCCAGATATCCAGTCTCATGAGCTTCCATGGATGTAGAGAGTCTGTGGGGTATGATACTGGTGTCTTATGGCTGAAAAGCCCAGCTAGATCCAGGGCTCCCATGATGTCACCCTGTCCCTAGTATCCCCACCTGTAGTTTTTGTCCTTCTATGGTGAGTAGGCTCTTCGCACATGGTGGATAAATGGTCTCCATTCTTTGACTTATATGTTTATAGCTTTCCAATGTATTAGCTGGGGGAAAGGGCCTCGTCCCCAGAGGTTCTACCAATGTCCTGGACATATGTTCATGGCTCTCATTGTCCTAACTTGGGCCTTATGTCCATTTCTCAGACAACTCCTGGGGCTGGAATATGAAATATGCTGATTCCAAGTTGAGCTTGGGTGATGTGACCTCAGTGACTCAGTGTAGAAAGGGAGGTTTCCTCAGATGAAAATCAGGGTGCACTTGCTAGCATAAGAGGAAGTCGATGTAGGTGAAGGAAACATATCACTGTCCACCTTACAGGGCTGGATTTCATCTTAAGGTTGGGTCAGATGATGGCAGGTGTGGTAAGCTGTCGCAGATCTCAGCAACACAAGCAGAGAACAGGGATACCCAGGGCCTACAGTTCCCATTGTACAAGGAATGCAGAGTATCCAGGGGAAAGACTCTATAAGCTTTGAAGTTCCCCCTATTTATTATTTCTAACTCTCCCTAGGTAATGTGAATATGCCATCAGACAAGTGAATTGAGGGAAGTGATTGTAAATATTGACACCCCTATTTAGCTGCAATTTTCCATACTAGCTGACCAGCTGCCTAAAGTCTCCCCAAAGAGACCCTGGGGTTGTCACATATGTGCCAAGTCCAGTCAACTCTAACCCCTTGTGGGTACCTGTTTCTTGAGAGGTCACTAGAGGGTGATGCTGGACCATTGCCCCTGCTGGGTATGCTCTGAGACATGCCACCTAGTGCTGGCACTCTTGAGGTGGTATCTCCTGGATCTGGTTGCTCCCCTCGGTTCTCACTACCTCAGCCATGCTGGGTTCCAGGCAGAAACAGAAGGTATACCACTTTCATGGCACTGTGCAGCAGAACTTTCCAAGGTAATGGAAGTGTTCTTTATCTGTGCTGTGCAGTGTGGAAGCCAGTCATTGTGGCTACTGATCATTTTAAATGTGGACATTATAACCTAGGAACTGGATTCTCTAATTTTATTAAATTCCAATGCAAAATTAACCACATGTGGTTACTGGCTGCCATATTGCCATATTGGATAGCATAGCTCTGTAGGACTCAGTCTTCTTCATCTGAGAGCTAGACCTAGGGTCCTGATGCCCGCTGTCCTCTTCAACTCTTGTCTCCCATCCCTATTCCTCCTTCAGATAATGTGCAAACCATCTTCTTCATCTGTATCCAATTCATACAAATTGGTGCTGAAGGCCAATAAACAAGACAACTCTCATGGTTAAAGTCACCTGAGACTCACTCCGACCTTTAGCAGAGAAAAGGAGTCAAGAGTCTGTCTTCAGTTGTGGCAAAGACAGGAGGGAAGGAATCTCTTCCCATCCTGCAATGAAGTTGGGTGGGTGAGGACACATCCAAAAGGGTGGAGACAGGAAAGGAGAGTTGGGTGTCAGCCACAGCTTGGGAAGTCCCCAGGGACTTTGTAAGAGAAAGGGCTGAGCAAACCTTGCTCAATTCTGTGTGACGTTTTTCTTGGCCAAATGGAGTGGTGCCCTTGGGAGCTGTTCTGTTTGGAGGACAGGGTGCTGCTGGAGAGGCAATTTGGGGATCTGGTCTCTAGCCCAATCTTTATAGCTCTAGCAAATATTGAATATTTTGACAAATATTTTGAATAAAGGTAATTTCCATACTTTATAGTAAATAAGGTTTTCGGTTACAAAAAACTCAACTAGTTTAGCCATAAAGAAGGGATCTGCTAAGGAGACAGGAATGCCATGTAAGAGAAGAGTGACTGTGAAACTGGACCTCTAGGATGGCTGGGGACCATGACTGTACATGTGGGGATTCCATAAGATCTGTCTGTCCACCTCTCATCTCCACCTCCTGGGCACCTACAGATTGATGCTGTATTGCCTGGTCTTCGATGTGCCAGGCTTAATCCTGAAGGGAGGTGGGAGCAATTATTTTTGTCCCATATTTCCAAGAAAAGTACACTAATGTAAATTCTGGTGGAATGTTCTGTTCCTGGGCCTATCCATTGTGGACAGTTCACAGGATTCAGAAGCTGATGGCATAGATGAGGCTGTGAGTTATTTCAACGCCCCCAGGATCCACGTCAAATGGGTAATCTCCACTAGGAGCCCCCACTGACCTATCAGTGACAGCCTTCCCTAGCCATTTCCCTTAGGGGAGCCTGTGACTTGTGGGACCCCTGCTGAGATGATTTCCCCCCCCATTGCTGTATCTCTTCAAGGATGGCTTTGGTAGTAACCCCAGGGAAGTTTTATGATCACACTCTTGTTGTCCTCCTCCACTGGCCCTGGTCCCTCAAATTCCTACTACTCTTCTGAATCCTGTCCAAAGATTGATGAGAGAAAGACCAGGAGAGACAGAACCAAGGGGTGGGACAGGCAGAAAAAAACCAGGAGGAGGGGGAACAGCTGTTTCTTTTTTGCCAAATTACAACTTCTTTTGTTACCGTCCAACTCTTTGAGAATCCAACTCTTAAAATGTAACTAGCTCTGGACAGAGATGTCAACTAATCATAAATGTGTTTTGGATGTTTTGACTGCATTTTTTGCTTCTTTTGGGTTGTCGCTTCCTTTGTTACTTCTTGGCTTGCATGCTTGGCACCCCCATCAGCTGAGGGTCACCTGTACAGAGCACACACTGTGGACCAGGCCAGCTACACACCTGTCCTTGTTTCCAGCCCTCAAGTCAGCCTCGCAGGGTTGGATTATGCCAGGATCAAAGGAAGTATTTTTCATGTTCCTCAATATACTTGGCCAGGTCTGTGCTTGGCTTCTCCCAAGGGATCATGAGAACCTTGAAGACAGGAATTGCATCTGGTTCATCCTTGAATGTCACAAAGTGCAGTCCGGGTGTGACTCAGAGTGCAGTTTCAGTTAATATTTGTTGAGTGATTACAGTACGTTGTGGAAGGAGAAGAGGGAGAGGAGTTATCACTATCTTTCTGTACTCTTCCAATTTCCTGTGATGCATGTGTCATTTAATGGACAATTATACTTAGTTTTGTTGTACTAATGGGGAGAGCTAGTGTTTAATGCAATAGTCTTTGTCTAGCCCAAATTACTGAAAGTCTCCCAAGTAGCAGACATCTGTTATAGAAGGTGGGTCTCTCTGAACTCTGGAACACTTGGGCCCCTTCTAGGGGATTGTGTAAGCCCAGTGAGTACAGCCCTTGGGAAGGACTGCTCACCTCACTTTGGCAGAACAGTAACAGCCAGAAAAGTGTGGGGTTGGTGCTGAGGCCTTCCCCAGGGCTCCTGGGTGTTATGACCTAGAGGAGAAGCTGAATAAATTGACCCCTGGTTTCAGAGACCAATCCCACATTAGCCCCACGCCTGCTTGCATGGTCAGTGGGCTCCCTGAGGGCAGGGCTCTGCTCTCCTACCCCAGCTCCTGGCACAGGGCCAGTGTGTTGGCAAATGGAAAATCAACAGGAATTAGACATCAAAAATAGTTTCTGTACAAACAATATAGATAAGGAAAATGGTCTGAAAATAAAACATGATGGTAGAATTTCTGTGTTTAAGTTAATAATGCATGGTTATTCCATGATGTGATACTTAAGTAGACTGAATGAAATCTGCTCCTTCCTATCAATATCGTTGGCTCAGGGAAAACGTGTGCAGATGTGGCTACACACAGAGCCACCACATGGAAGGCACCCAGATCAACCAGAGCGATAAATGGAATTACAAGAAACACACCAAGGAGTTTCCCACAGATGCCTTTGGGGATATCCAGTTTGAGACGCTGGGGAAGAAAGGCAAGGTAAGCGTGGTCTTCTATGTAGCTAGCTAATTAGAATCTAACAACTTGAGCTACCTTGAAGTACTGCTAATTGTCTAATGGTATGGAGGAGGAGTGTCCAGAAATGACAGCAGAAAAAGATACTTTTTGCAAAAGTCACAAAGTATTGACCAGATTATGCTCAGCTGGACTAGGTGGTCACCCAGCTGTCCCTGCACACACACTGTGGGTTTCTTTATAACACCCATGTTGGACCTCATGCCACAAAAGGTCAGGGAATACTTTTGTGAACTGTCCACTTAGCTTGGGTGTGAGAATACATGTGTCCTGACAAGGTGACACGCCCCTCTACCTGCTCCCGTTGTAAGCTCTCACACAGAGTTTTGCACAGGTGTCCAATGGTTAGATGAGGGTGCTCCCTGTCTCCATGACAGCGCTGTCCTCAGACTGCTCTGGCTGGAAGCCTGGGCCTTGGAACCCTCTCGGTCCCAAGCCGTGTCCTGGTGGCCCTGAAGGCCACGGGCTCCCTCCACTGCTCTCTTCCATGGCCTGCGCCCAGGATGGCCCAGCATGGTCTCCTGCCTGCGCCCAGCTCTGCCCTCCCCAGCCTGGGCCCCTTGATGTGTACCCCACACTGCAGCGGGACTACGAGCATCCGCGGCAGGTACCCTGCTCCGGACACCTCCCGGCGGGGGTGGAGGCCCCGGGGTGACTGGGTTGGGCCTCAGGGCCCACCTCTGCCCTCCACCGCACAGCCCCCCGTCCCGACACCATCCTGACGCTTTCCCTCCCGCACAGTACATCCGTTTGTCCTGCGACACGGACCCGGAAACCCTCTACGAGCTGCTGACCCAGCACTGGCACCTGAAAACGCCCAACCTGGTCATTTCCGTGACGGGAGGCGCCAAAAACTTCGCCCTGAAGCCGCGCATGCGCAAGATCTTCAGCCGGCTCATCTACATCGCGCAGTCCAAAGGTGCCACCCGCTGGGGACGGGTGTGGGTGTGGGTGTCGCGCTGTGTGGGGGGCTCCCAGGGTGAATCCTCCGTGCAGCCTCGCGATTAACCACGCTTTAGTACTAGCAGCATTCTCAAAAGGACGGACAGGGCGCTCAGCAGGGGCTTCACCAGGTGACCCTTTCTATCCCCCTTAAGGGGCTTCCTCAGGATGATTTTATTTTATTTAAATCTGAAGGTTTCATTTTATTATTTACACATATAATTTTTTACCCAGAATATTCTGGTGCTTTAATTTTTGAGATCAATGATACACTTTTGGAAGAAGAGAGAGTGCAAATTCTAAGTACCATGTAAGCATTTGAGATAAAACCATGGTGACTTTGTTACTTGAAATATGCAACTTAATATTATCGTCCTTCTTTTTAGCCTTATTTTGAAAATTTTCAGATCTACAGAGAATCTGCAAAAATGATCCGATGAACACCCTCACAAGCTTCTCCTAGACCCCCGAGTTGTTAACATTTCCCCACGTGTCTGTTCTTATTTCTACATGTTATGTTTTGGGGGGGCAGGATCTGAAGTAAGTTGCAGGCTGGTGGCCTTAGCCCCCAGTTCTTCAGCATGCCTCTCTCAAGAGCAGGCACCTCCCTCACCCCGGTGTGGCCTTCAAGCCCTGGACAGTCAACACTGACTGGTACTCTTATCGGATTACAGCCATCCCTCACACTCCTACAGTGTCCTTTAGAGCAAAAGTTGCCTTTCGTCCATCTGCACTCCAGATCCATGGAACTTTCAACCAATGTCTTTTCAGTTTTCCTTCATCTTGCACAGGTCCTCAGCCCTTCTCTGACCTCCATTGCATTTTGCAGAGTAAGTGCCAACAGCTCAGGGGATTGACCTTCAGTTCAGGCTTGGACAGTGTTTTCTTATAAGCAGGCTCAGTTTCTCTGAGTTCAACATTTTGCATTTTCTTTTATGAAGATAATTTGGCTGACAGAACTAAGGAGTCTTATTTAGATGTGAATTTTTCTGTAATGTAGAAAAGAAATTGTGATCCCCCCATTTATTCTTCTCAATTTCTTCACCAATTTGATGGTCACTGTGTTAGTCACTTTGTTAAGGAATTAAGCAGTTTAGCTTCCTTCCTACTAAATCCTGAAAATACACACACACACGCACACAACATTCATTCATTCAACAAACATTTATTAAGTGCCAACTCTGTGCCAGAATCATTTTAGGTGCTGAGAATGTAGCAGAAGAAAACAGAAAAAATCCCTGTCAAGGATGAGGGCCTGTTTCACTTTAGGTTACTGAGGTGGCCAAAGTCTTTAGGTTAGTGAGGTGGCCAATAGTCTCCTGGTCCTCCATGTTGGTCATTTAGGGGGAACGTCAGCCCTATGAGAATTAGCTGAAGGAAGTGGGTAGAAGACTTGTAAGGGCCACAGCAAAGTTATCTTAAAATACCGAAAGGACTCGGAAGGGGAAGGGACTGAGCTTGTTCCTCTTTGCTGATTAGATCCTGGAGGCAAATGGTAAACAAAATACCTTCTAACAGCCAGAAGAGAGGCTGCCTTGCAACTCCTGGGGCTTCCATTGCTAGGGCTAACCCCCAGAGGCCGGTCACTACTCTCGGTGGATTCCTGTTCGAGCCGCAGATTAGACCAGTGTCATTTCCATTATGCTAAATAATATTTTGCAGGTATTTTAGGTACTTCAGTTTTGAACACACACACATGCATCCTTTTGCAAATCCCTTGCCATTGTGATTATCAAATACGGACCTGACCAATGTGCAGAATTATAAGTATTACATAATTATAAAGCAAAGCAAAATTGCAGACACCAGGGCCATTCCTGGAAGATCTCACTCCAATCTGACCTGCAGGTTCTGCGAGCAGAGTAAAACTGCTGTCCTTGGCAGAATCATCTAGCTCACTGGAAGGCTCAGGCCAGGCTTTTACTGCTGGTAAAGATTCCCCTGGACACTGATTGCAGATGCAGACTTGCTGACCCTATGCCCCAGAGAGGTTGATGACACAGATTTAGAGTGGGACCTGAATCTGTTTCCTGAGGAATGCTTCTCAGGAGCCTGGGGGACATCCCTCACCCATCCCATGGCCTGGCTGCCAGGGCTGCATCCTGGTGCTCGCCAGGGTGTGGGAGCACAGCCTGGAGACCTCCCCTGGTACCAGCAGAACAGTTGCTTTCCCCTCATTGACAGGTGCTTGGATTCTCACGGGCGGCACCCATTACGGCCTGATGAAGTATATCGGTGAGGTGGTGAGAGACAACACCATCAGCAGGAATTCGGAAGAGAACATTGTGGCCATTGGCATAGCAGCGTGGGGCATGGTCTCCAACCGGGACACCCTCATCCGCAACTGCGATACGGAGGTACGGGTGGGATGGGGAGGTGATGTGGGAGAGAGCTGAGGACATGGAGCTGTGGCCTGGATACCAGGGCTCTGGGCTTCGGAGGGCTGCCTTACAGGGATGGCCTGTGGGTCTCTGGATTGCGCACAAGCATGGCATGCTTCAGGAACTCCCCAGAACCGCCTGACGGTGGATGAGCTTTATTGGTTCCAGTTCATTCCCAGCAACCTCATGTGAGGGTTGGCTCCTTCATTCTTCATAACCAGACCTGAATCCACCCCAAAATACTGCAAATGCCGGTGTCATACCTTCATTGCTCGGCTACACCCACAGGCATGCAGGCCAATTACTGTGCTCCCTACTTAGTTTGGCAGTGAGAAGGCTGTGAGACCCACCTGGCTAATGTTTCCTGGGAATGTATCCCGGAGGAATCAAGGCACCTTTCAGGGTCAAAATACAAGGTGGCCGCATGGGGTCTTTATCAAGTGTGGAATTTTGCAGACAGTATTTCTGGTGAGTTGAGGACCTCAAGCAATGGGTGGTCCCTGCCCAGAAGCTGTTTAGAATGTTTAGAAGCCTTCATTTAGTCTCCACCTTCTTCCACCTAGGGCTCTGTAAGTTCACACAGTAAATATGAGGGAGTTTCAGGATCACTGTGGTGCGCCAAGAAGAGTGGAGCGCCAAGCGTCCCACGAGGCAGCGTGGTAGAGTGGAGGAGGGTGGAGAGGAGTCTGGGTGTCGCTCCTTTCCCAGGACACAGTCTTGAGCAGGTCCCTCTGTGACTTGTTCAAATCACAGCCTGCATGCTCACAGGGTAACTTTATCTAAATGTCTCAGTGAATGACGGTTTCTATTATTACTAGATGCTCAATAAGCAATGGTAAAATGGCCTCACAGTAAATGGCACCCTCAGGGATGAGGCACCCTGGATCAGGGTTTGAAGGTGGCAGCAGTCTGGGTGGGACTGAGTGCCATCTTCTATCAGCATCGCTTGCCATGCGCAAGGAGCCACCTTAGAGTGGGTAATTATCCCATGGTGGATACTGTACCGATGTTAATTTGCAACATCTCAGAACATCCTTGAAGTTTGTGGTTTTACCCTTGAACTAGAATGAAAAGACTTCAGGGTTTCCCTGGAGGCCGTGTAGGGGGCCCTTCTCCCTGGAGGCCGTGTCGGGGTTCTTCTCAGTCTACAAGTAAAACATGAGATGATGTGTAAGGATTTAATGGGAAATGTCCATTACTCAGAAATGAATAGACAAACAACCAGCCATCTGGAAAATAAATACTGGGTCAATAATTTACTTTCCAGAATATAATTTAAGGAATAAATGGAGCTGAGAAATTAGACATAATATTTAATATTGAGAAAAATCCTGAGAATGCCATATCTAGTTATATATCAATAAATCTGAAAAATATCATGAAAATTGATATTTTTTTTCTATAAAACTATAGTTTTCCAAAGTTGATTTAAGAAAAAATGAGAAAATACAAGTACAGGAATTATCCCTGAGTGATAGGTAAAGGGCAAGGAAAATTTACCCCCGATATCACGCTGAGTTGGGTGGTTTAAGCCAATGAATGATGATGATAGTCTAGCCATTGCTGATTTAGAAAATGTTTAGAGCCTTCCATTACATACAGAAGCATGGGATCTTCATAAAATTTTGGATAAAGAGCAAATCTGTGCTATCTGTATCTAGAGCATAAACTCTTCATATAATAGGTCGAGCAATCAGACTTGTGAATGTATCACTAGAGAATATAATACTTGGGCAAAGATGTTCACTGAAACATTTCTTATAAGGCAAGGGTTGGCATAAACCTAAATATCAAGCAATTCTTATTTCTCAATTTCTATTATTATATTTTTATTATCTGATAACATTTATTATTAGATGGGGAAATCTTTAGGTGGGTACTTTGCAAATATGAGGGAAAAATCATGGAACTTATTAAAATATATTATTTCCAAAGGTATTCTGATAGTATAGGAAGTATAATTTTTTAGTATGAAATTATGAAATATATTTATACATACAAAAAATATACATTAGTTACCTAGAATAATACCTGTTATAAATATGTGTTATATCTAGAAAGAACTGAACATACTAAGCTATTGATGTGTCTATCGCTGGGACATGGAATTAAGCATAATTATAATTTCCCTCTTTCTTCCTTTATTTCATTTCTATGATAAATGTGTTGCTCTTAGAGCCGTGAGGTGCTAGCTCTGTTAATGACACTCTTTGGTGATGTCATGTGGATTCACAGCACGTCGACGATCCGGGGGCTGGTTTCCTGGTTTCTTTCCTCTTCCCCTGGGTTGCAGTGATTGATCTTTGGTGTCCTTGGACCACCTGTTTGTAATAGCTTGGTGGCCACTCATCCTCTGGTTTCTACTCAAGGCTCCATCTTGGAACCCACCACCTGACGTCTAGCTGACCTAAACAACACCATGCCTCACAAACAGGATCTCTTTCAGTACTCGCCCCCTCATCCCCAGCATCTGCTTTTCCTGAGGCAGTGCTGCACTTTAAAAATCATTGTGGCACTGTGTGTGTGTGCATTAAAAAAGATGCACAGGCATCTCCTGATTATTCTTTTTCTGCAAATTTTTCTTTCCTATTCATTACCATGCTTTTTTCCACATAAGTGTGGGAAGAACTTTGTCAGATACAGTCATAGGACAAAACAAGAATAATAATGCACTCGCTGAGTGTGATCATGTTAAACCTTAAATTGATACTGGAAAGTTGAAATTATTATGATACCCCTTCTTATTCCAGTAATATATGTCTTTAAGCTTTTGCAAGTCTGAATCTTGGAAAATACTTCTGCAGATTTCTTTGACAGGTTCTATGTTATTTCTAGGGATTTTATATTTTTATGGTTATTTAGTGTAAGTTTTGAAGTAATTTTTGCAGGTACATATGAAAGTATTGATTTGCTTATTGTAGTTTTGAATCAAGAGACTTACTGGACTCTTCCTACTTCTAATAATTTTTCAGCAGATTCTCTGACTGTTCTATGTTTACCACCACATTATTGTAAGTAACTTAAAAATTAAAACAACTCTTTCATTTAATCTTACCCTATGTCTTTTGCTTATCATCTTGCATTGGCTAGAATTTTCAGAGTAGTGGTAGTTATGAAATCAGGGACCACAAGAGGCATCCAGCATGCTGGTCTCATAACGAGGGGCAAGGATTCTAGTATTTTACTGATCGACATGATTTGGCTAAGGTTCAATATGCACCTACTTAACACAGTCATAAGAATCATCTTTTATTTCTAGTTTATAATTTCTTAAATCAAGAATGAGAGCTGAGTTTGGAAGATCTTTTGTGTTTATGGGTTATGAACTCATAATTGAAGAGGCTGACTACCTTTAATTAGCCAGTGATTTTTTTTTGGGGGGGGGGGTTGTTTGTATCCTTATACATCAGAGAAATGTATGTATAAGGTCTTTGGCTTTTTCTTCTGATTCTTTTCCAGTCATGGTTTTGGAATCAGGGTGTATTCTGGAAGAATGTAAAGGAAATGGGAATTATTTGTTCCATGAAAGTTTGTAGGGCTCCTGTTCAAACTCATGGATGTGCCCGTTTTGAAAATATCGTCCCACCTGTCACTGTCAGGAGTTTCCTGCTTGGAGTTTCTAACTGGACAAGGGCCACTTAGAGAAGAGATTATGCCATTGGAATTTTACTTTCTTTCTGTTTTAGCTAGGATAGAAATGATAAAAAACTGACCCACTAATTTTGTTCTGATTTCATACACATCATTAGTGGAATCAATAGCTTTGCTTTCCACATTGGGTTTCCAACTCACAGTCCATTCTTGGAGTCAAGGTCGTAACACCTTTTACTACAGCCCTGACAACTTGGGTGGACTAGAGAGTCAGGAATGCTCTTGGCAAGGATTCTTCTCCTGTTTTTTCCTCTGGTGCTATTGGGACAAAGTATCTATTTAGTTACTTTTTAAGGGTCTTGTTACTGAGCGCTTCTCAAGTGCAAAAGACTTTTATCCATTTCCTAATCCCTTGACCCTGGCACAGGTGCCAGTATATGGTAGATTCCAGGCAAACAGGTATGTGCGCTTAACAGTGTCTGCCTCTGCTTGTGTATCCAGACACGTAGACACATGTGCACGTGTGCATGTGCACACGCTTACACAGTCACACACACATGGGTATGTAATTTTTTGAATGCTATGCACCCTAGTGAATTTATACAAAGGAGCCCAGGGCAACGGACCAAGAACTGGATTGGGAATCTGATTTTTATAGTGCCACTGGTCATATATGTGACAGTGGGTAAGTTGGCCCAGCCATTTCGAGCCTTTATTTTCCTCTATTTATAAGGAAGCCTGCACCACCAGATACTCATGACTCTTCTGAACCTAGGGATCTGGGAGGAGGCATCAGTGTAGTTGAGCCAAAGGATTAGCTTTACTGTGACCATAAGATGTCATCATGCGTCTCAGTCAATGAATACAATCTCAGAGACAAGTCCCCTGCACTTTCCAGGGGTGTTTTTCAGCTCAGTACATCATGGATGACTTCACGAGGGACCCTCTGTATATCCTGGACAACAACCACACCCACCTGCTGCTCGTGGACAACGGATGTCACGGACACCCCACAGTCGAAGCCAAGCTCCGGAATCAGCTGGAGAAGTACATCTCTGAGCGCACGAGTCCAGGTCAGTGCTCAGGAAGTGTGAGTCTCCATGTCCATGGTAATAGGGCGGCACCAACAATCGTGTCTGCCAGCTGTGGAGTGAACCTGAAGAGCCCTCCTGGGGCCTAGGAGGAGCCACGAGGTCTCACAAGGGGTGGCTCTGCCCGGGTCCCTGTGAATTATGCCCTTTGACATGCTGTCTCCTCCACTCTCCTTTGTCAATATAGAATGTCTGCCATCTTTTGTTCCACTGGACAGCACTTAAGAACAAATAAAACCCATGATGGCAAATACAGTTTTAAAAGCAATGCCTTTAGTTAGCATAGAAATGATAAAGAATTGACCCACTTATTTAACATTTGGATGGTTTGAATCTTGGCTCTTTCTGTGAATGCAACCACTTAAACATCAGTTTTGAGGGGACAATTCAGGGAAAGTCTTTATCTGATGTCATAAGTGACATCCATCTTTTTCTTCTTGTGGACAAGGTGTTGAGATGTGTCCTGCCATGGAACCAGATTACCTGGTGACTTAGTGACAGACCCTACCACAGGGACATCTTGGAGATGTTCCCACTTGTTTTCCTTTCACAATGGGATATATTTACGTGTACATTAAACTCTATTGAGAGAACACCCCACTGGGCAAATGAGAATCATTATTGTAAGATAAACTTGAACCTACTCTAATTATATCAGCAAAAGCAAACAAGCACAGACTTTAGCATTTTAAATATCAGTAACAGATTGCAAAATAGCTCCAAGTTATACTATTCCTAGTTTGGTGCACCTAAATTCACCCATTGTGGTCAACAGTAGTGTCAAGGTCAAGTCCATGGGCTGAGCATCTATTGCCCACATCCTTCCCTGGGCTCACAGGGAAGAAGCTCTGGGTGCACCTGCTCCTCAGGTAAGGGAGCATGTCTACTGAGTCCAAAGTAAAGTTTACTTTTTATGTTTTGCAGATTCCAACTACGGTGGCAAGATCCCCATTGTGTGTTTTGCCCAAGGAGGTGGAAGAGAGACTTTGAAAGTGAGTCCTCGTTTAGTTTTCGAGAAGATTGGTTACCAAGCTTACTAAAAATTTGTATTTTGAGGGCTTTTGGGTTTTGCAGTCTCTCCTGACTAGTTTCTTCTGTGACTACAAGAGGGAAGTGTCTTGTACCATATGCTGTCTCCTTAACAGACACAGGTTGTTCCTCAGCAGAGGAGACTTGGGATGACATGAGTAGGCTGTGTGTTTAGCATCAGCCTTGACAGTCAGCCTGCCAAAGAGGACGGTGCCACTCACTCAGAAAACTGAAGGATGGCAATGAGTGTGTGTTTTGGAAAACCGACTTGCATGGAGAGGAGCTATCACACCCCCACGGCCACCAAGTCAGATATCCCCAGACCACTTGTGGCCCTTCCCATGAAGGGACAGGGCACCTATAACACTGAGCTCCTGAGCAAATCTCAGCTTCTCAGCCCCCACATAGGCTCTGCACATGGCTGAGCTCCTCTTGCCTGCAGCTGGGCTTCAGTTGGACTTCATAAGAGAGCATCAGGCTGACTGTATTTGAGTCAGTGTTTGAAGAGATCATTTTTCTAGAAAGAGGACATTGTATGAAAGTCCTGTTTAACTCCTCTTATTAAGTAATTTCCATGTTGATTTGCATATGGCCCTTCTCCGTCCAATTTGTACCCTGATCTTGGGTGAGATTGAAGATAGCTCTAGTCGTTCACCTGCTCCCCTCCTTTGACCAGAGAACATCCCTACTGTTGCAGGAATTTGCTGGCAGAGTTACAGGAATCCTAGACAGTTCCTCTCTCTATGCTTTTCTAGAACAGTGGTCTTTTCACTCCTTCATTCAACAGGTATTTATCAAGTACCCACTGTGAGGTCTGCTCTTGAGACCATTGTTGAACAAAGGTCCTTCAGGGAAAGATTTCTCAGGAAATAATTAAAATGGACTTTTTTCCCAATGTGAACTGGTCACCAGTGAATACTAAAAAGCAGAAATACTAAAAGGAGGAAGAGGTGGAGAGAGAGTTACTGAAAGGTGGCTGCATGTATTATTCTTCGCTCACATTTTAGATTTGGAATGAAGACTTCTTGGCTTTGGATGGAGGGGAAGATCAGAGAGCACCTGCAGGTCTAGGGTGGTATTTCCATAGCATCAGGCACAGAGGTCTGCTTAGCTCACAACCCACAGAAGGGGCACAGGAGACCCGGGGAGGGGAGAGAGCAACAGCTGGCTGTCTGCAGCTCTGCAGCGAGCACATGCCCTGCACCCTCCTCCAGTGCAGACAGAGGGCTCCCAGCCTGCTTGCTCAGCCGGTAGCTGGGCTCCACACCTGCCTCTAGGGGACACATCTTCCCTATGAGAATCATCTAGTCTTGGAGGAAAGGGTCTCACAGTATCTCTGTGCCCAGGTGCAGATAGGTCACTTTATTCTGCTGTCATATGATTAGAATTCTCATTCCCCTATGCTGACCTCTGCAATTACTGTAAAGAAAATAAAAGTAGGGTACGTGGTTATTTTTTTAATAATAAGGGCAAACTAAATTATTCAAGAAGGGAAATATATAATGAACAGAACACAAAATTTGAAGTTTTCAAAATATGAGTTTTAGTAACTTCTATCAGATAAGATACCACAGTGATGATAAACAGAATCATAGTCGTTGTCACTTAAAGCTATATCAACGTTTGGAATGCCTGGTTTGTATGTAAGGATATTTTGAAGCACCTGTGGTGTCACAGGAGTCTTTGTTTTGGAAGTTGATGTTGACACAGGATGCCATAGGGCTCCTTACCGTTCTTAAAGCAGGTACAGGTATTTCATTGGCTTCTGATTTGAAATAGAAGTCCCCAGGGAATAAGTGCAAGGACGATGGGTTTTGTTCCCTGACCTGCCTTAGAACCTCAGTTCCGAGCTGGGCTCTGGATGACCCAGGTCTCTGACGTCTGCTCAACTCTCTGCTCTCCAGGCCATCAACACCTCCATCAAGAGTAAGATCCCTTGTGTGGTGGTGGAGGGCTCGGGGCAGATCGCCGACGTGATTGCGAGCCTGGTGGAGGAGGAGGACGCCCTGACGTCTTCCATGGTGAAGGAGAAGCTGGTGCGCTTTTTACCCCGCACCGTGTCCCGGCTGCCCGAGGAGGAGACTGAGAGCTGGATCAAATGGGTGAGCTCAGGGGGAGAGGTGGAGAGCTGAGGGAGAAGAGGCTGAGCTCGTGGGAAGGGGACTCACAGGTCCCACTCCACTGGTTGCTGCAGGTGCTTGGTCTGTCCTCTGAGACTTTGAGGCTCTGCTTTGGCCCACACCAAGCGTCCTGCTGGAAATTGAAATGTGGATGAGCTAAGTGACTCTCCAAGCGTCCACTCCTTCTAAAGAGTTGAAATGCAGGGCAGTTTGCAAAGCTTGTAATCTGTCTCTTAGGCCATGATGCCACAAATGTGCTTCTGTGTTTTGTATGTAGTGGTGATGGCGAGGGGGGAAATCTCTGGTAATGACATTTTCGAAGTGCAGACTCTAATTGAGCCTACATCTACTGAAGAAACTCCCTCCTGACTAGGTGCCATTCTGCACTAACTGCCTGAGTTTCAGCTCAGAATCTCTCACCTTTCTTTCTGGATTATATGAGAAAGCTGAACTTATTGGAAAACTTACCAGGCTATTAATGGCTGGGCTTATAAAACTATTTGAACATGTTAGGCTATACTTTCTCATTTTTCTTTGATTCATGATTGTTGTTGATTTGGAACGACTTACTTTCCTACTGCTCAGCTCATTAGAAGGTCCACATAAATGTCAACAGGTGCATTCACATCAACCCATTAAAAGATGGCCTTAGGTATTTGGATATTTTTAGGACCATAAGCTGCCTCTTGGGAATTTTCCCATAAAGAAAATAATAGACTCAGACACAGAATTATTTTCATCACAGAGCCCATTTCATCATGAGACTTGAAGGTTAGATTTAGGATGCATCATAATAATGATGATTCTTTCACTAGATTTTTATTTTAACAGTATTTAATTCCAAATATCAAATGCAGCAAATCAGCATCCTGGAGTAGGGGAGACCCTTTCCTCTTGCTCATGGTGGCCTTTGTCATTCTTATGACAATTCAGGGCAAACGAAATCCTAGTAAAGAATGAGAAGAGTCAACCCAGCCTTCTTGGCACCAGGAAATGGGACCCTTGTGTTCTTCTTTACTTTCACACAACAGGGATCCTAGCTGGTCACCCTGGTGCAGGGGATATTGAAATGAGCAGGATACAAGTCCTGTCTGGATCAGACCTCACTGTCTAAAACTCAGAATGTAGAAAACACAGATGGACCTTCCTCCCATGGCTGGAAAGTGACATAGATGCCGATCGGGCCTCTCTAATGTTTGTTTATATGATATTTCTACTTGAGATATCATATTTTCCAGACTTTACTAAAGAAGCTAAAATGGGTAGTTTTATATGGAAGTTTTCACTTAGACTTTCTTGTGTCTGATCCAAGTTCAGTTGAGAGATATACACAAGAATCAGATTGAGATGAAAACTGCAGCTTTATGGGTGGTGAAGGCAAAGTTGAAAGATAAGGTGTACAGTTGCCTCCACCACAGGCCTCCTTACGCCGAGGCCCAGAGTAGGAGAGGTGGGCCCACCCAGCATGGTAGCACCAGGGACCTGCTGGCCTCCCCACCAGGCAAGGCAGATGGTAGATGCAGACCAGAGCCCTAGCACTCTGCAAGGAGCAGATCCCAACAAGATAAGCAGCCAAGGGCTGGTTGGGCAAGGCCAGTGTCACTCCCCACCCTGAGTAGGTGAAGGATGAGAGTGCCAGGGGACTGGTTCCGATGGTGCTCCCTGTGTGGCAGTCTGCAGAGAGGAAGGGAAGGGTCACCCTCCTCTTGTTGACTGATTCCCTACATTCTCATAACTGAATAGGTTGAGTCAATTATAAACATATAATTAGACCGATCCCAACGGTCTTGTATCAAAGCAAGATGTTGCATATTGATCTCCAGTTTCAATGTTCTCTGTTGAGTGGGAGAAATCCAGTGGTCAGTGCAAAGGTATTCATGGGGAAGGAATAGGCAGCTCTTAGTTTATCTATCAAAGGTGGCTCAGCTCCATTCCAGTGACTTTCCTCTTATTCCTTGTACAAGTTGACATGTGGGGTCTGCACAACGTCATGTTGAAGAACAGAGGCCAACTAATGGGTTCTCCAACACTTTTGAGGGATTCTTATTTCTACTTCAAGAAAACACAGACAATTCATCTTAAACTAAACGTTAGGCACATTTTGCCCCTGTGTTTTTATTATCCTTTCTGGGATTTATATCTAATTCACATTCATATCTAATGAAATACATTTATAATCATGTCAATCAGAAGACATACACCAAAAATGAAAATCATTGCATTTTAATTATGCACTCCTAAAGGGTTTCATGGAAACAGCTTTTCTAAAAGACCAGGCTCAAAAGTGGTATTATTAGTGAATGAATGTCTACATTTTGTGAAGCACAGAAGCAATCTTCCTGGGTAAGATCGATCTTCCTCACTGATCGTGTGGATGACCAATCTCAAAGCCTGAACTCATAGTTTCTTGACCTTTCCAAAAAAATCCCCTATATTTCTTCTACTAGGACTACACTTTCTTCTCCTAATACCTCTCCTACTAATTCTCCCATATCTGCACCTGAAGTTCTCAAGAACTTAATCTTCTATAGTATCCTAATCCATCAGCCAATCTAGATATTGTTCATTCATTCATTCATTTTAAACTATCTAATTGGTATTTATTGAGCATATACTGTGTGCTATATTTTGGCATAGACACTACAGAAAAAATTGTGTATACAACAGAACAGTCTGTATTCATAGAGGAAGAAGAAATTGAAAAAAATTTATGTTGAGTAATTACAATAAATGCAGCATATAATTTCAAATTGAAATAAGTGTTCTGAAGAAAAATAACATGATAAAAAAGACATGTGCCAAGGGAGGTGGTCCTGATGTGGGGCTTTATGAAAGGCTTGCAGAAGAAGTGATATGGGAGCCAGTTTGTGAAGGATGAGAGTAGGTGAGAATATGGTTGAAATTGTGTTGGTGGGAATGGCAAGGCAAAGGTCCTGGGGTGAGAGGCTGGTCTGACATACCCAAGGAGCTGAAAGATGGAAGTGTGAATGGAAGCCGAAGAGTTCAGAGGGACCCGAGTAGCCAGCTCTCTGTATATTGTTTTGAGGTTTTAGTCTTTATTCAGGTATAAAAAGATGCCATTGAAAGCCTGAAATCAGGGAGACAATATGATCAGAACTGTGTTCATGAAAGTTCAAATTGTCTGTATTGGGGGCACAGGATTGGAGGAGGCAAAAGTGTATGGGGAGGGAGATACCAGTTAGGAGGTTCCTGCAGTTCTCTGGCTCTCACCAATTTGCTCTGTATCCATATTAATTTTCTTTTCTTCCTTTTAATTTCAAAGGAAAAGATATCTCACCCCTTGGTTATTCCCACTCTGAATTGTTCTCTATAATCTTGGAACCTGGATCCCTCTTTTAACCTGTCATATCTAGCTGGGGCCCTTTCTTTCAGCCTGAACAAAGGCTGCAAAAATGGTGAAGATGGCTTTCTTCTCCATGCTCTCATCTTCCCCCCTCTCAAACTCTTTATGTTTTGTGTCTTCCTGCTATGTTCATTTATTTTTCTCATCACATCTGGATATTGTATCTTCTGAACCAAGACCTCTATCATCACCTTTTCCAGGAAATAGAGGCCTTAAAAGCTCACCTCCTATTTTCTAAATTCAAGAATCCTTATTTCACATCATGCCATCTTCCAACTTTTCTCTCCCACCCAGCTGAAAATCTGCATTTCCAGGTTCTCATTTCTAAATTCTGCCAGAAGAATCCACCATCTCTTCAAACTCAGTCCAACTGAAGTCAGATTTTCTTTCTCTTCGAGCAGGAAGCATGGAGTCCTTTCTCACTGAGCTCCTACGAAGCTCACCAGTGCTCCCAAACTTTGAAATAGGAGGCTCTTTCATTATAAAACATGATTAAAATTTTAAAATTATAGGAAGATCACAAAGGAGAATAAAGAAACCTATTTATTTCTTTACTTAATCACCAAGTCCCCTTGGTTCTTTTTTGCATTTAAACCTTTTCTGATGCTTACATCTTTATGGCCATATTCAGATGGTTTTTATGGTTTTCTTTTGCTTTTTCCTCATTTAGTTACTTATTCAACAATTGAGATCTTTAATGTGCTAGGGTTGGTCACACATACATTCATTCTCTCTCTTTCTTTCTCTTATAGAAGTTTCTATGTGTATTCTTATCTAACCAGGTCTTTATTGTCTTTGAGGTCAAGGACTCATTATTACAATTTAGAAATCAGAAGCTATGGGTTCAGATGTTGGATATAAGAGAAAGAGATACAGAACCCCCTTTAAGTGGACATTTAAAAAATATGGAATAAAAAGATCTCTCACCAAAATAGAGTTTATGTTTTTCATGTCTGAAATCAGCTGATTGACAACTTTGTTCTTTAAATGTTGCCAGCTCAAAGAAATTCTTGAAAGTTCTCACCTGTTAACAGTTATTAAAATGGAAGAAGCTGGGGATGAGATTGTGAGCAATGCTATTTCCTATGCCCTGTATAAAGGTAAGTGAAAACAGCTCCATGGGCAGTTTTAGCTTTGTGTTATTTTCTGTGACTTTTGGTGACATGTACTTCTTTTTAAAAGAAACTTTATTATTATTATAAACTTATTATACACTTTATTATTTAAAAGCAATTTTATTGAGAATCTCTACTCCAAAATTCCAAATGAAAAAATCTAAAAAAGCTAAAAAATCTGAAACTTTTTAGTGTTGATATGATACCTCAAGTGGAAAATTCCATAATACCATGAAGCTATTTCACATACATATACAAAGCTATTATGAATGCTTCAATTAAGGCTGTGTGTATAACATGCATATAAAACTTAAGTAAATTTTATGTTTACTCTTGGACCCTGGAAAATCTCTTTAAATATATGCAAATATTCCAAAATCTGAAAAAAATGAAATATAAACCATTTTTGGTTCTGAGGAGTTCAGATAAGGGATACTCAACCTGTATTATCTTGCAC